GTGTTTGTTTGTGTGAGAGTGAGTGTGTGTGTTTGTGTGTGAGAGTGTGTGTTTGTGTGTGAGTGAGTGTGTGTTTGTTTGTGTGAGAGTGAGTGTGTGTGTTTGTGTGTGAGCGTGTGTGTTTGTTTGTGTGTGAGAGTGAGTGTGTGTTTGTGTGTGAGAGTGAGTGTGTGTGTTTGTGTGTGAGAGTGAGTGTGTTTGTTTGTGTGTGAGAGTGTGTGTTTGTTTGTGTGTGAGTGAGTGTATCTGTTTGTGTGTGAGAGAGAGTGTGTGTGTGAGAGAGTGAGTGTGTGTATGTGTTTATGTACGTGTTACAGTAAATGTAGGTGGGAGCATGAGTCTGTGGACGAATGGCTGTTTCAGTAAGAGTGAAGGTCTGAAAGGGTGGGCGAGGCAGAAACCCTCATGACAGAAGAAATGGGGAGGTACTGGGTAGGCAATGGTGTAGTGGTATTATCACTGGACTGTTAATCCAGAGACCCAGATAATGTTCCGAGGACCCGGTTCAAATCCCGCCACAGCAGATGGTGGAATTTGAATTCAATAAAATATCTGGAATTAAGAGTCTAATGATGACTATGAGTCCATTGCTAATTGTCGGAAAAACCCATTTGGTTCACTAATGTCCTTTAGAGAAGGAAACTGCCATCCTTACCTGGTCTGGCCTACATGTGACTCCAGACCCACAGCAATGTGGTTGACTCTTAACTGCCCTCTGGGCAATTAGGGATGGGCAATAAAAATGCTGCCTGGCCAGCGATGCCATCATCCTGTGTATGAATGAAAAAAAAGTATTTAGACATACACTTGCGATGCCAAAAGAAAGACCAAAACGCCAAGTGAATCATAGAATCTCTACAATGTGGAAGCAGGTTATTCAGCCCATCAGGTCCACGCTGACCATCTGAAGACCGTCCTATCCCTGTAAACCTACAGTTCCCAAGGCTAATCCATCTAGCCTGCATGTCCATGGACACTACGGCCAATCCACCTAACCCACGCATCTTTAGACTGTGGGAGGAAACCCACACAGACATGGCCAGAAAGTGCAAACTCCACACAGACAATTGCCAAAGGCTGGAATCGAATCCAAGTCTCTGGTGCTGTGAGGCAGCAGTGTTAATCACTGAGTCATCATGCTGCTTAAGTGCTAGAAAATGTGATTAGAATGGTTAGGTGTAACAGTGTGGAGCTGGAGGAGCACAGCAGGCCAGGCAGCATCAGAGGAGCAGGAAAGTTGACATTTTGGGTTGGGACCCTTCTTCAGACCTAAAACATCAGCCTTCCTGCTCCTCTGATGCTGCCTGACCTGCTGTGTTCCTCCAGCTCCACACTGTGTTATCTCTGACTCCAGCATCAGCAGTTCTTACTATCTCAGAATGGTTAGGTGGTTGTTTTTGATCCATTCAGAAGTGAGCCTTTTTCTGTGCTGTGAATCTCTGTGACTCTAAGGTGACTGTCAATACATTTGAACTTCAGAAAAGTATATCATCTAACCTGTTCTGTCACTCACTAATGCCATTGGTGATCTTCTGCATCAACTCCACTTTCACACTCAAGCCCCACAATCCTTTGATTCCCTCGGCACTTCCAAAATTCCATCAATTCCAATTTAGATCTTTTTTCAAAAGAAATCTTTGATGGGTTGTAGGCATGGTTGGCAAATCCAATATTTGTGTCTCATCTTCAGTTGTCCTTGACAAGGTGGTGATAGGCTGCCTTCTTGAACTGCTGCAGTCTACCTGCTGTGCATTGACCTGTAGGGATGGAACCCAGGATTTTGATCCAGCGACAGTGAAGGATCTGTGATATATTTCCAAGTCAGGATGGTGAGCGGCTTGGAGGGGAAGTGGTGTTCCTGTGTAGTTGCTTGGAGTTGTATGGTTAGAAACAGTGAGATTGCAAGAGTGTCACAGTAAACATAGGTGTTTGGAGTGCAGGGCTTTGAAACTGTTGGCTGTGAGGCACTGTAATGCTGTGACCACTGTTTCAGTAGTGGAGGCAACAGATGTTATAGGTGCTGGATCTGGTGCTGATTAACTAGACTGTTTTATCCTGGATGGTGTCAAGCTTCTTGAGTTTGCCAGATCTGCACCCATCCAGGCAAGTGGGGAATATTCCATCACAATCCTGGTTTGTGCCTTGTAGATGATGGACAGGCTTTGGGGAGTCAGGAGGAGAGTTGCTCGCTGCAGTATTCCTGCCTCTGACCTGCTCTTGTAGCCATCGCAACCTTACCTCTGTCATAAGGTCAGAATTGAGGGTCATTTACTGGTGATTGCACAATGCAACTCCTCAGTCACTGAAACAGCCCTTGTCCAAATGCAGCGAGGTCTGGACAACATCCAAGCTTGGACTAATAAATAGCATGTGACATTTGCACTACACAAGTATTAGGCGATGACAATCTCCAACGAGAGAGAATCGAACCATTGCCCCTTGACATTCAATGGCATTACAATCACTAAATACACCATTATCAACATTCTGGGTGTTGCCATTGACCAGAAACTGAACTGGACTAATCATGTAAGCGCATTGGCTACGAGCACAGGTCAGAAGCAGGGAATTCTGTGGCAAGTAACTCACCTCTTGACTCCCCAAAGCCCATTCTCCACAAGTCAGGAGTGAGATTGAATGCTGCCCACTTGCCTGGATGAGTGCAGCTCCAACAACAATTAAGAAGTACGACAGCATCCAGTAATGATGCGGACAGCACGGTGCCTCACAGCACCAGGGACCCAGATTCGATTCCAGCCTTGGGTGTGGAGTTTGCATGTTCTCCCTGTGTTTGCGTGGGTTTCTTCCAGGTGCTTTGGTTTCCTCCCACATTCCAAAGATGTGCAAGTTAGGGTGGATTGGCCATGGGAAATTGCCCATAGTGTCCAGGTGTGTGCATGCTAGATTGGTTAGCCATGGGAAATGCAGGGTTATGGGTTGGGGGAGGGGGATGGTTCTGGTTGGGATGCACTTCAGAGGGAGGTGTGGACTCGGTGGGCCGAATGACCTGCTTTCACACTGTAGGGATTCTATGAATCCAATTGATTACCAACGCTTGAAACAGCCTTGACTTTCCTCCACCACTGAGGCTCAGTGGCAGCAGTGTACTCCATCTACAAGATGCACTGCAAAATTTCACCAAAGATCCATAGGCAGCACCTTCCAATCCCACAATTATGACCATCTATGCGTGGGAATGCTATCGCCTGCACAACACCATCTGTCACTGGGTCAGAATCCTGGCATTCCCTCCCATATAGTGTTGTGGCTCATGGACGGTAGTGGTTCAAGAAGGAAGCTCACTCCCTTCTGCAAAGCACCTAGGGGCAGACAACAAAAGCTGGCCCAGCTAATGACACCCACATCCTTCGAAAGACTGATAACAAAGTGTCCAGATGCTTTCAGGTATCCCAAACTAATTTAGTCCCATTTGCCCTCTGGTTTCCTACACTCCAGCAGTGGAAACAGTTACTGCCTGTCTACATCTCTATAAACTCTCCAGATATTTGAACTGTTCAATTTATTGCACCATGTTGTTGACTATCGGTATGTTGGTTAATTCACCTCTCACAAGAATTTTACATCTGATTACATTAGTAATACACAGAGAAGGCTCCAGCCTTAAATACAATTAAAACAATCTCTAGACAGCATTTCTGAAGAAGGGTCCCGACCCGAAACGTCAGCTTTCCTGCTCCTCTGATGCTGCCTGGCCTGCTGTGTTCCTCCAGCTCCACACTGTGTTATCTCTAGACAGCATGTTTGATCAGAGATTTATTGAGTTCATAGAAAATAAGAGCAGGAGTAGGCCAATTTGTCCTTTGAGCCTGCTGCGCTATTCAGTATGATCACTGGTTATCATCCAACCTCATTCACTCTTTCGCCCCCTACACTTTAACCCCTTTAGCCCTAAGAAGCTAGGACTTTTTTCCCTGGAGCATAGGAGGCTGATGGGTAACCTTATAGAGGTTTATAAAGTCATGAGGGGCATAGATAGAGTGTATGGAAAAGGTCTTTTCTCCAGAGTAGGGAAGTCCAGAACTAGAGGGCATTGGTTTAAGGTGAGAGGGGAAAGATTTAAAAGGGACCTAAGGGGCAACTTAATCACATGAGCTGCCAGAGGAAGTGGTGGAGGTTGGTACAATTACAACATTTAAAAGGCATCTGGATGGGTACATGAATAGGAAGGGTTTAGAGGGATGTGGATCTAGATTAGTTTGGGAAACCTGGTCAGCATGGATGAGTTGGGCCGAGAGCCTGTTTCCTTGCTGTGTAGCTCTATGTCTGTATAACTCTCATCTATCTCCTTCTTGGAAACATTTAACGTTTTGGCCTCAACTGTTTCCTGTGACAGTGAATTCCACAGACTCACCACTCTCTGAGTGAAGAAGTTTCACATCATTTCAGTCCTAAACGACCTATGCTGTATCCTGAGACTCCGACCCCTGTTTCTGGACTCCCCAGTCATTGAGAACTTCCTTCCTGCATGAATCCTGTATAGTCCTGTTAGGATTTTATTGATTTCCATGAGAAGCCCCGCCCTCTGCCTCATTCTTCTGAACTCCAGTGAATATCATCCCAACCAATTCAACATCTCCTCATGATGTCAGTCCTGCCAGGCCAGGAACCAGTCTAGTAAACCTTTGCTGCACTCCCCCTATAGCAAGAACATCATTCCTCAGATAAGGAGACTAAAGCTACACACACAATACTCTGGTGTGGTCTCCCCAAGGCCCTGTTTAACTGCAGCAAGACATCCCTGCTTCTGAAATCAAATCCTCTCACTATGAAGGGCA